AGGTTCTGTTCAGACTGGGGAGGAGCAAAGCATGGAATGAAGGGGACAGGACCTACCCGGGTGAATAGGTCAGTCTGTAAGCAATGGAATGCATTACTCTAATGATAACCAGTGTAAGAAGTGACTAGATGGGACAGGCTCAGTATAATCTTTCCACATAGCTTTTCTTACCACCCCCCCTCCCAGCTTCTCATTAAAATTATTTTTAAAAGCCTCAAATGGTGAGTGACAATAAATAACAAGAATCCCATTTCCTGTCCAAAGCCCCATTTTCAGGAGTAACAATAATCCCATTGTCAAACGACCCTAAGAACAGGATTTATTTCATCTATTCCATTCAGCTCATTAGCCTAAACTCTGCATCTTATTACAGGGTTTCTGGCTAGCCTGTTTCATTATGAAATGCAGGCCAGGCATTTTATAGTCAATGCTCAACACCACAGATGCCAGCCACAAGAAATCCAGAGTTGTATGTGTTTAATGCTAATAAAATGTGTCACTATCTCCTTGACCCAAATTTCCCTGCTTATCTGACCAGAGGATGCAGTAATAAAAGCCATTAGGAAGCACTAGCAGTGTCTGCAGATGCATCTTCCCTTCACACACACTTTCTAAATAGATAGATTACTTTCTGCCTGGCCTCATTCTTGTATTTGTTTTTATTTTCTAAATGAGATAGCTTGGTAGAGATGTTGCCACCAGGAAATCTCCAGCCTTTTTAATATAGGGGCTGAGCCACTTAACATAAAAGTGACATGCAAATCAAGTTTGTTGGTGCTCCTTTAGGATAAAAAAGAAAGGTCTGAAAGCTGGGGTTTTGTTGCTGTTTTTATTCTCTCCTGCTTATTGTTTACAAACTCAGAGCTTGTCAGCATTTTTTGAAACTATAAACTACTGATAACTCTAGAACTGGTAAAAAAAATAATTATATCCTATTTCTCAAAGAATTCATTTGGCCCCTGCTGCTGCAGTAACTTAGTGGCTCCCAAAAATTAAAAAAAATATATCCTGAAAAGAAACCTTCAAGTAATGTTGGTAAATATTATGCCTATTTCAGAAACAGGAAACAAAGGAGCAGACAGACAGTGAGTGGCTTGCTCAAGGTCACACAGGAAATATCTAGCAGAAATGAATACTGAACTCAGGTTTCCAGTACATCAGCCACAACATCATACATCTCCTAGGGATGTTAAAACTGACAAAATGAGAGGGTTATAGTGGTTTGGTTCAAAATGTGTTCTACATTAAAAAAAAACAACAAAACACAACAACCCAGAAGTGCCCAGATAAGCAGCCACTAATGTGATACCCCCATCCATTGACCCAAGACCTGAGGAAATCCCACCCTGATACTCTGGATCTCCAAGGACTCCTCTAGCAAAATAGGAATGTCTAACTATTCTAAGATAACATAAAAGTAGAACAAAACTTTTTCAATACAACATTCCAGTCTTCTTCATCCCAAAAAACAGAGCAGCAAATGCACTGTTTCTCCCTTTGCAGGTCACTATTAAGTCTAACAAAATCCAGCATAAATATGTGGAGAAATAAAACAACTTTTCCAGGTTAGAGCTGTGATTTAACTAACAGAGAAATAAACGTAAATTCTTATGTTCTGCTAAAACAATAAAACCAGACTCTTAACTAATTTCAACCTTCTTAACTGCATTTTGTCAAGCGCAGTGAAGTGAAGCTTATTTCCAAAGACAGTTTATTCCAAGCATAAAAGCAATCCACAAAAACACAAACTTAAAATGCAAAGGTTCATTTACTAGCTCTTCAAGATCGTGGCAAAAATTACTAGGTTTGCAAAGAGAATAAGATAATTTTTAGATTCTTAAATTTAATAGCAAAAGAAAAGATGCTTTGATGTTTATCCTATTGTAATACGTGTTTGCTATGCATTCATTTTAAATGAACGGCTATTATCAGACTGTTTGCACTTACCGTAACAGACAATTAGCACTAAACACTAGGAAGGGAGAAACTATGGGGCCTAGCAGCACCATCTCCCAATTCAATTACAAGAAGCCACTGGAATCGTGAGGCTAAGCAAGGAGTCAGCAATCAAGGCAATCATATTTAATCAGTGAGTACCAAGGTACAGCTGCCTTTTGATCAGGGCACAGTGCAGCATCCTGTTGGGTTGGACCAAACACTGACTGAAAACATAAAAACCGTCTCTTCACTCATCCCCTACCTGCTGTCTCTGCTTCAGGCCTGTGCTTTTTCTACAGCTGTGGAGAGACCAACCATAATACATACTTACAGGCAGATCTGCATAGAAATAGTGTTTCCTGTCAAACAAGGACTTCTTGTTTATGCTGCAGCTGAGTGCCAGGCCTGTCATCACGGCCGCTTCTACACATCTCCTGTTGAGAACCTGAAAAAACATGACACATGATTTTGCTTAGATATTCGCTATGAAACAAATGCTTCTCCCACATGCTACTTTATACAAAGCATATATTCAATTTTGCTTGCCTTCAGCAGGCATTATCTCTCTTCTCTTGTGCAGGAGCTCATATCCATCACCAGACCGGCAGTAGCTACAAATCTGCAATGTTTGAGATGAAAAATAAAGCCATTCAACTGCTTTTGTTAAAAGTGTAACATTAGGATTGTTGGCTTTTCAAATATCCTTAGTACACCTCCATTTCTACATTGCTAAAAAATTAAATGTCAGTCAGAGTAATTGAAAATAGAGGTGCTGGTCAACAGATTTGACACCTCATGCTGGGTGCTCAACATATGATCCAAGTTACAGACCAGGGTCCCTTTTAAGAACACACATGACTCCACTGACTTGAATAGGATTTATAGAATCTACAGATTCTTTAGAAGTGTCATCTCTCTAGTCCACCTCTTCACCCCAAGACACGATTAACTATACTCAACTTAAACCATTCGTATATAAATTGCTATTAAACACCTCCAACAAGGGTCATTTTCATCCTTTCCCTGGAAGAAGTACCCTAGTGCTTAGCTATCCTTACAGTTACAAAGGTTTTTCTCAGACACACAGCGTAAAACTCCTTTGTTGCAATTTAAGCCTGTACTTCTTGTTCTATCCACAGTAAACATAGAGAACAGCTTATAACTTTCATCTTTACTGCAATGTTTTATGCATTTGAAAACGATTTTATCCATCATGGTCTTTTCTTTTCTAAACTAAACAATGCCAGCTCTTACAATTTTCTCACTGATTCTGTTTTCTACACTTCTGAACATTTTTGTTGCGCTTGTCTAGGTTCTCCCCAGTTGGTTCACATTTTTCTTGAAACAGTATGACCAGATTTAAATGCTCTGATAAATATGAATGAACTGAAACACAAGTGTACGCACTACGCTGAACTGGAACCTGAAAGATCCCATGCATGTATCTGTGTGTAAACACCTGTGGACTTTATAAACCACTTCTGAAAATTTCAAATCAGGACTCAGTCTCACAAAATGGTGAGTGATCAATCATCAAGCCCTCACAAGACTGACACAAATTAAGGTAAATACGAGTAAATTGGGATTTTTGTTGGAGATACTCAAAACACACCCTACCAAACCTAAAAATATGCTGGTAAGACTGCTCCCAGGTTGACCAAGACAGCTGATCTTAAGCATGCTGATGTGCTATTGATTGACTTCACTGACATATTCCAAGGTTTGGAGCATGCAAGAGCAGCAACCTTGAGCACATCTGCGTGGGGTCATGCTACCATGAAGTTGTAGGCATATCCTGTGCCTCACTGGAGGTGGTCCATTTACTGCTGTAGCATTCTACCTCAAATAAGCCTCATGGTCCTGAAGAGTACAGAGAAAATTTGGTTCCTACTTCAAAATACCAGAAATCAGAGTTTTTCAAAGCTGTTTTAAAATAATTCTATTTTAAAAATCTATTCAGGTTAATTTAACACTTTGCTTAACTAATTTAAAAGCTGGTTTGAGGTGATTAAATTCTCAGGGCTTTGAAATAGGAACAGAACTGTCTCAGTCCAATCAATTCTGCTTTCTGAAGTTGTCAAAGAGACAGTGTCTAGTATGGCTGACAAAGGGACACTGTCAAGATGAAATCAGGTACTGAATTCCCCTTACTCAGATTACAAAGAACATCACAGGTAAAAAACAAACAAACTGAAGGAGCTTTATAAATATTTTTTTCTTCCCTTTTTCCTTTTTTTTTTCTATTTACCAATTTATCGGCTTATCTTATTTTATTTTTCTTCTGCTTGTTTCTTGTCAATTTCACTTTCAGGTTATTTATCCATTGCAGTCTCAGTACAACAAGTAAGGAAGATGTTTTTAAAGCACCATCAATATAATCTGAAGGGTTTTTATTTTGTTATTTTGTTAACACTTCAAGGAAAACATTTCAATGGGTCCCAGGTTTCCCAAAAGATTTTTTTACAAAAGCTAAACACCAGCTTAACTCTGAACAAACACTGTCCTTCAAACAATTGCAAGAATAAGAGTAAGTCATAAAATACTATATTTTATTTACTTATGTATTTTTAAACACATTTACAAAGACCTGACAGATGGCCTTTGGGTGGTTCCATTAGCGATTAAGGAATCAAATTCCATTATGAGAGGAAACAAAACCTTGAGAAAACCAGAAAAAGAACCCCTCTTCTGTCAAGACAAGAACAAAATGAATTAAACATGGAAGGCATTTAACCGAGTCCTATTAGACCTTTAGCATAGCTGCACACGATTAGTTAGAACACTGTTGGGTCTTCTTTTATTCAGTAAAGATCTAAGAAAACAAATAAAAGCCAAGTAAAAAAGGGATAAGATAATGATTAAGAATAATTTCCAGTTTGAAATGTTGACCATAGCAAAATGAACCTAATTAGCCCCAACTGCAGACCAGAATGAAATATGCTGGATAATGTTGAAGTACTAATCAATTTTAGTATTGTAGCTATTAGTTTCTTATATAGCAAATGTTTCTATTTTCAGCAATTAGTATTTTATCTTCCAGACAGGAGAGAGACATTTATTATCGCCATGGGAAGTTAGTCTCTTATCACAGTGTTAGCCCGAAATGTTAAAACAAAGACTCAAAAAATTTCAAGTTCCACAGGTAGCTTCTCTCTCCTCCAGAGCCTCACCTTTATCTGACAGGATGGTGTCATAAAGAGATCTTACAAGCTAAGCAGGCTGTACAGGTAAATATTTCAATAGGAGATCTCCAAAGAATACCAAGGTACTGGAAAGCGTGGGATGGGGGTTCACAATGGCACTCCTCCCTATTAGCAAGTACTACGTGCTTAGAATTGAGTTAGGATACATAATGCCATGAAAGTCGCATCTTTTCTTTCATGCACAAGGTATTAACCTATGCTCTGATTCCATTTTAATTCACATAACTTTCTTTTAGCACCTAATCTTGCCATCTAATTTGATATGAGAAGCAGTGGTCTTTACTTCCACTCATTCCTAACACTTAGCTAACACAGTGTTGCTTATTTCACAGAGGAGTGATGTACTAGCTATTTAAACTGGGTAAAGAAGGGCCTAAATGTTTTCAGTCAAGCATGTTACTGGCCTTGGCAGAAAGTTACTAAAAGTGTAGTAAGAACTCTCCAAGTATCATTACCAAGCATTTATGTCACAGTGAATGCTGCATTTGGGTTGGGCCCTATTTTGCTGGGAACTGTATGAAAAACAGCTCAAACTCATTTGTACATTTTACTCTGTTTCTTATTTATTAACCTGTGCGATGATTGGAAAAATGAAAATCTAATCTCTTTGGACAGCTCCAATGCGAAGGCCGTACCCATTTGCTCTCTTTTCCCAGACTCAGCAAAGAACATGCTGACACACTTCTTCCTCAAAAATGAAAGTTGATCTACTCAATTTTGCTCCTTTTCTGAAATAACCAGTTAGGTACTGTCAGACCCAAGCTTTATGAGCTCAGCCTTGCACAGGGGTAGCTAAGATGGCAAGCCACTACATTTTCTTGGAATTTACATAGCTTTTCCAATCTGTGGCAATAAATATTAATACTGTGTAAAACTTTCCTTTCTAATGACCTAGAATAAGTTTCCCGAGCTTGTTTATGTAGTAAGCTGTTATTAACTTGATAACATTGACTAGCACTGCAAATTTAAATTATTGGCTTCACCTGACAAGCTGCCAGTCTGAAATGCTAGCAAAATGCTGGCTTTGAAAGAAAGATATGGAACTGCAGAAAAACCTGTGGACAGAGCCCAGAGACTACTAAAAAATCCTAAACAACTCAAGTTTCTAACATGGAGGCATCTATTACATGTATTAATTTCCAGGAAATTCCTAGAGATTTATCCTTTGTAGGTAGAGGAAGTTGTTGAAACTGAAAAGCTACAACAGGACTAACAAGGGCTTCTCAACAGCAATTTAATTTTTTTTGTAGTAATATTACCTGGATAGATGTACCAGAGCAACTGAGGGCAAATAAAACAAGTGAACAACCCTGTTCAAATTTGTCTAACTGTAGAGAAACTGGTTTACTCTTTCCACATTTTCCAGGAGCAGAAATATGCTTTCCACAGCTCTATCACTTCATGCACAAGCTCAGTTTAGTGAGGAATCTAGTTGTAGTTCCACCTGAGGCACTGCCTTCAGCAGCATAAACACCTGCTAATATCCATGCCAGCAAACATTATTAAACATGGACTAAAATTAGTTTTTCAGTTGTAAAAGTGATTTGTTTCATGTTGAGACAGCAGAACCCTCCATTAATGGCTATTTAATATTCAATAGTGTGTGTTGGGGGGTGGAAAATGTGAATCACCTCCATTCTACCTCTGGAGTTGACTGCCTCCATCCTATGCAGTGGCATCAAGCAGGAATGCATGATCACACCAGTGCCATTTGCCATCTTTCTTGCAGTGATCAGGATGCTCATCTATGACTGTCTGCCATATGGCATAATGCAAAGGACGGACGGGAACCTTTTCAATCTCTCCCACCTCCGTGCCAAAACCAAAGTTACTTCAGCCTTGATTGTGGAACTTCAGTATGCCAATGATTGTACTGTCACACATAATGAGGACAGCCTGCAAATGACCCTTAACTCTTTCAAGCATACCAGTGCCTGGGATTGACCCTTAACATTGGAAAAACAAAGGTGCTCCACCACCCTGCTCCAGAGGCAAATCAACTCCCCCTGCAAAGACCCCCAATGACGGACAGGAGGTGGAGAACACTGAACACTTTGCATACCTCAGCAGCCATCTCTCAAAGAAAGCCAACATCAGTGAGGAGATCCAGGATAGGAGCTGATGTGCCAGATTTGTTTTCAGAAGACTGAATCATTGTGTGTTCAATGATCATGATATCAGGACTCAAACAAAGTTCCTACTATATAAGGCTATGGTAATCCCAACTCTTCTCTACAGCTGC